GGTGTCCGCCGCGGGCACCGCACGGGCCTCCCGCTCCCACCACCAGCTGCAGGGCGGCCGCCGGCCACTCCTGTGTGTGCGAGGCCCGCGTGTGATTCACGGGGCTCTTGGCCCCGAGCTGTGCAGCAGGGCTGGGGGGGCTTCCGGACCTGTTTCCCCCAAAGCCCCCACCTTCTCGCTGTCAGAAGTCCTGGCCCCCCCCCCCCCCAGCGTTCCTGCCCTCAGCCCGGGCACGGCGGCTCCTCTCCCGGGAATGCCCTCCCTCCGCGTGAGGAGGCGTCTGATCCAGGCCCCCACCCCCACCCCTGCTTCTGCTGGTTTGCGGTGACCTGTGGGCTCCCTGGGCCCCAGAAGCCCCGCCCGTCTCTGCCCTCAGTTCAGTGGGGCCCCCGGCCTGCGTGCGTGTCAGGGTCCCATCGGGCTGGGTCAGTCTGCAGAAACCCCATTTCCAGTCCCGTCCACAGGCCGCGGGCTCAGGGTCTCGTCGGAGGGGACACAGCTCCACCTGAGCAGGGACTGGCGTGGGGCGCGTGGGCCTGTGGAGCAGGGACACTGGGGTTCACTCTGAACGGGCTGCTCTGGTGCCCGAGGAGAGCGGCCAGGGCTGGTCGCCTGTGGTTCATGACTCCTGCCAGGGTGTGGCGGGCGCCAGGGCCAGGGCCTGCCCAGGAGGAGACCGAACACCCCCACGCACAGGCTTCTTGCGGAAAAATAAATAATCTACCTGTACCTGTGTCTATATATCTGTGTCCATATCCATATCTATACCTATCTCTCCACCTCCACCTCTACCTCCACCTCCACATCCATGTCTATCTATATCTATATCCATATCCATCTATATCTATATCTATCTCTATGTCTATGTCTATACCTATATCTATACCTATCTCTATCTCTCTCTATCTCCACCTCCACCTCTACCTTCACCTCCAACTCTACCTCCACATCCATATCTATCTCTATCTATATCCATATCCAGCTATATCTGTATCTATACCTATATCTATACCTGTCTATGCCTATATCTATATCTATATCTATATCTATATCTATATCCATATCCATATCCATATCCATATCTATATCTATATCTATATCTATATCTATATCTATATCATCTATATCTATATGTATCTCTCTCTCTATCTCCACCTCCACCTCTACCTCCACATCCATATCTATCTATATCCATATCCATATCCATATCCATATCTATATCTATATCTATATCTATATCTGTATCTATATCCATATCGATATCTATATCTATATCTATATCTATTTCTATACAGGTTCCTGTGAAGCCTATAGAAGTGATGTTGGAGATATCGCTTTATTCACCCCCTAGGCTGCCGAGGGGTGAAAGGAGAGGGAAGAACTTAATCAGACACACAGTCCTGTCCCATAGGGTGGCTGGGGTGGGGGCTCCCCAGCTCAGAGCAGGCTCGGCTCCGCGTTTAGGGCCTGGAAGGCTCTCGCTGGTGGAAGAGGCCGGGGGGCCGCCCGCCTGCGTGAGGGAGACGGAGCGATCCGCTCAGAAGCCACCGGCCACGCGGAGAAGCCACACGTGAAACAGCCATCGAAGGATGATGGGAAGGAACCAACCGACCCGGTTTTACACTAAATGCGAACGTCCCGGATTTCTCTCGGGTGGGATGAGCGTGCGGCCACGTGGAGAGCTGGGGCGTGGCCCTGTGCGTGGCAGCACGGCACTGTGCCCCCACCCCCCAGCACTGCCTGACGGCGGGCGATGCTCACACCGGGCCCGGGGCTGGCTGGCGCTTCGCTGGGTTTGCCAGCGCTGGCTCCCACACGGGTGACGTTCCCCCGTTAAAAGCAAATAACAACAGAGAAAACGCACATTGTCTGGCGCACAAACACGCGGACACCCGTTCGCCAGGCCTCCCAGCGCCTCCGTGGGGTTCCTGGGGCCGCGTCGCCTTTGTGTCCTCAGCGGGTCACCCCAGTCCGGCCCCCAGAGAGGGCCACGCCTGCCTCCCTGACCTGCCAGGTGCCGGGGGGCTGCTGTGCCCGGGACCCCTCGGTGCAGCGGGCAGGGTCCTGGGCGGGGCCCCTCCTGCAGCCGCCCATAGTCAGTGCCGTTGGTCGGCCCGGTGGCACCGTCGGAGTCCACGTGAAATTAAAGTGGCCGAGGGGCCCCGCTGCCACGCCATGTGGCCGTCTTTATCCGGAGGCGGAGCCGGGAGCCTGTGGTCTGGGATGGCTTTGGCTCACGATGGGGGGCCGGGCACAGGCCAGGACCCCGCGTCTCTCGTCTTGTCCTGATTCTCCGAGGGGCTCCGACCCGTTCGCAGAGCTGGTGACCAGCGTCAGGAGTCCGCAGGCGCCGGCGTGACGGGGGCGGAGAGGAGTGTGGGGCCAGAGCAGGGCCGCCCGGGCTTCCGGACACAGGACGGGTTTGCTCAAGGGGCATCCTCAGTCTTAGTGCTTCCTGAACGGCGGTCAGCGCCGCCGGAGGAGTCCCCCAGATGCCCACGTGGGGGGCACGCAAGGCTCGGTCCAGGTGGCCACGGAGCCTGCAGAAGGCAGCACAGACCCGAGCGAGGGCTCGGGAGGAGCGGGCGTGTCCCCCGGAATTTCCCGCGTGGGGTGGGCGCTGGGCTGGGGGTCCGTGCTGGGCCGGGTCGAGTGGAAAAGGCAGGCCCGGCCTGGGGAGCTGCTGGGAGCGGGGAGGGGCCCCCTGGGTTGGGTGAGTCCCGCCGACTGGGCCAGGAGAGGCAACCGGGGAGAGATGGCCGGGCCGGGTGGTGTGAAGGGCCTGAGGTGTGTCCTAGGGGCTCGGGTGTCATGTCGAGGGGTCTTCTGAGTTGTGGGTGGCATGGGGTCCCGATGGTGGGGCCCTGAGACAGGTGTGGGCGAGGCCCTCCTCCAGTCCCCCCCCACCCCCCGCCCCACCTGTGCTGGGACCTGGGCCCTCCTTCCTTCCTCCGGTCACTTCTCTCTTGGGGCCATTCACCACCAGGGTCACCCCTCCCACCACGCCCAGCGCCCGGTGGGCAGGTCAGAGGTCGCGGGCAGCAGCGGGCAGAATCTCAGGGTCACTGTGGGCAGCCAGGACCTCAGGCCAAGGCTGTGGGGGGCTGTGGGCAAGGGAAGCAGCTGAGCACAGGGCTGAGGAGGAGGTGGACGGGGGAGCCGGGCGGGTCAGGTCCCAGGGGGGTCCCAGCAGACGGCCCTGCTCCACCCCCACCTCTGCCCGCTCCACGGGGCGCCCCCGGGCCCTGCCCCACGCCGGGCGACTCTGTGGCGGCGACGGGACGGACTGGCGCTCCGCGGGGTGGGAGGCGGCATGCACGGAGGCCCAGCTGTGCCCAGCACATGTCACGGGGGCCCAGGAGCCTCACGGGGGCGCGGCCGGAGCAGCTGCCCGCAGGCGGGACCCTGAACAAAGGGCGCTTTGAGCAGCCCTCGCGCCTGCTTCGCACCGTCCGGCCAGCTGACCCCGGAAACGCGGGGCCCGCTCCCTCTGCGGCTTAGCGGGGCCCACGTGGGAGGAACAGCTGCCCGAGCCGGCCAGCGGCTGGGGGGAACCCCCCGGCCCCCGGGTCTGCGAGCCTGCGGGAGAGGCAGCCCCTCGCCCTGCAGTGCACCCCTGGCCGGTAGGTGGCTGGGCAGGCCCCGCGCCCAGAGGCCTTCGAGGGGCCCTGGTGCCCTAAGGTCCCCAGGCCGGGTTCGAGTCAGCCACGTCCGGCACCCACAGGCCGCCAGGGTCTGCGGTGACGTCTGTCCTGGACCCGGTTCCTGCTTTTGGTCAGCCCTGACCCCAGCCTGCTGTCCCTCAGCCCCCAGAGCCCAGCCTCCCCCCCGAAAGGTGACCTTTCCTCTGACAGAGCAGGGCACCTGGGTCGGAATCACGGGGCTGCCTTGGCTGCACAGCCAGAACCCCCGAAACGAAAGCAATGCTTTCATCCCAGAGGTGGGGGCGCCCGGCCGTCCGGGCCAGCGTGTGTGGCCCGGGCCCCGCTCGGTCCCGTGTGAGCGGCTAAGGCACGGGTGCCCGCAGGGGAGCCCCGGACGCTGCGCCCTGAGGTCCCCCCAGGGCGAGGCTGATGAGAACGAAGTGGCAGATAAGGCGGCCGCCGCCCTTCATCCCCAAGAGGTTGAAGCCCCTGAGCCATTGCCAGCTCCCCTCGGCGCCGGAGAGCGAGCCCAGAGGAGCACCTGCTTTTCTAAACCTTTATCTCGACTCCTGGGGTTTCCAGTGACCCCCCACGGGGCCTGCGTGCCTTCCTGGCCCAGCTCCTCACTCGTGACTGTGGCCTGGTGTGTGCCTGCCGGACGGCAAGGCTCCACCGTGAGGAGGAAGTCTCAGGCGGCGCAGGGTGGCTCCGTGGGGGCGGCTCCGTGGGGAGCCCTCGCCCCTTCCGCACCCCAGCCCGCCCTCTGTGCTCCGTCCCCGTGTCGTGGCTGCAGCCGTGGCCTGAGCTCGGTGGCTCCTTCGCTGCTGAGCTGACTGTGCCTGAAGGCGAGGGGCGCGGCCTGAGGCGGCTGTCGGGGACGCTCCTGGCCACGGCGGCCGGCAGGGCTTGGGGTGCTGCTGCCTGGGGTGTGCCCGGAGGGTCCGGTGCCGAGACCTGCCCAGCGAGGGGCCGGGCGTTCCCAGCTCAGCGCCCAGGGCTCCGGTTTCGCCATGTCCTCGCCAGCACTTGTTATTGTCTGTTTTTTTTTCTTTCTTTTTAAAGAAATATATGTGTATTGATGTCAGAGAGGAAGAGCGAGGGAGAGGGAGAGAGAGAGAGAGAAACATCAGTGATGAGAGAGAATCATGGATCGGCCGCCTCCTGCACGCCCCACATGGGATGGAGCCTGCAACCCGGGCCTGTGCCCTGACCGGGAATCAAACTGTGATCTCCTGGTTCATTGATCGACGCTCAGCCCCTGAGCCAGGCCGGCCGGGCTGTTTTTTTCTTTCTGATGGAGCCACCCTGGTGGGTGTGAGGGGCGCCTCCCGAGGTCTGGTCTGCGATTCCTTGGCGATGAGGGATGCCGTAGGCTTGCTGGCCGTTGGTGCATCTTCTCGGGAGAAACACCCCCTCAAGTTCTTCGCCCGTTTGTAACCGGGTGTCTGTGGGAACGTTGTCCTTACTGACAATTCTAAACGATACAGATCACCCCGCTGGGAGCCACCCAGTCCCCGCCCTCGCCTCGGCGGGGATGGGGGGTGGTGGCTGCTTGGACCCCACACGTCCCTGTGTCTCAGGTCCGGGGGCCTCTGGCAGGCGGCCATGCTCTGTCTGTACCCAGTCCCGGCGCCCAGACCGGCCCGGGCCCATCCGTGAAGCCAGCAGCCAGGAGGCAGGCTCGCTTTGTCGGTGGGTCAGTGCGAGGGGTGGGGGGTGTCTGTGTCTCACCCCTGACGCAGGCGAGGCCCCTGTCCTCCCGCCTTCGGGGCAGAGTTCAGGACCATCTCCACGGGCAACGGGGTGCACACCCAGGGCTCCCTGGGGCCCATCCCTCCCAGGACAGAGACCCCCGGGCATGACGGGTGGGCCCTGAGGCCGGAGGCTGGCCCCCCTAAACCACAGTGAGGTGGGGTGTTCCCAGAAGGAGGGGCGGCACCACGAGCCGGCGCTGCCTGGACTGGCCTGGCCGGGACATCGGCCCCAGGAGTGTCGGCCACAGGAGCCCCAGGACCCGCCGAGGGCGCCCGTTCTGAGGTCCAGCCTGGCGTGGCCCTGAGGGCTGTGCTGCCGGGCACCGGAGGCGGGTGGAGGTCCCAGGCTCGGCCCTCCCTCCCGTCCCGTCCCGGCCAGCCGGCCGCCGTGTCGCCGAGCCGGGGGCCCGGGCCACTTAGATACGGTGAGCCCAGCGGCCAGCGGCCGGCTCTGCATTCCAGACTCAAACAGGATTTGGGGATTAGCATTGTTTAAAATTATTCCTACACCTCACCCTCCGGAGGGGTCCCGCGTCTCAGCCGGCGCCCCCGAGGTCCCGCGTCTCAGCCGGCGCCCCCGAAGGCAGGGCAGCTGGGTCCCCGGAGTGGAGGCCGGATGAACCGGGGGTCACGCCGCCCTCGGCGGAGGCTCCCGACGGTCATTCCTTTAAGGTCTCGCCCGAGACGCCTGTCGCTCCCGATCTGATTAGGAAGCGCTGACGAGTTTAGTGATTTAAAAATGCCCCGAAATGAGAAAAGAGCCCGCTAGCGGGCGGCCGGCCGTGCGGGACACTCCTCATGCCATCGGGGCATTCGCGGGGCACAGATGAGCGAGACAGTCCCTGCCGGCGTGCGCCCGTCCGTCCTCCCTTCTTCATTCCGTGTGTCTGCGTCAGTGCCCACCGGGGCTGGGGCAAGGGGGTGGACAGATGGACGTGCCCCCTGCCCCATGGGCTCAGCCAGCTCCCAGTTAGGCCGCTGCCCCTGAAGCTGAGGAGAGAGGAGGGACTGGTGCCCGCCATGAGGCCGTTTGCCCTGCCACTGTCTCCCCGTGTCCCCAACCACACACACCCCGGCCCCTGAAGGACTCGACCTTACAAACCAAGAACATTTTTGCAAAAGGCAGGCAGGCGGCGTCCCGCAGGCTCACCCGTCGCCCACGGGCCGGGCCCCACACACAAGCCGGGTGGCACAGGCATCCCACCGCCCTAGTGAACAGCGCGTGAGTGCCCGCCGGCAGCGCCAGCGCCCCGCACCCCTGTGCTGGGCTCCGTGGCGGGAGGGCAGACACTGGGTGTGGGAGCGGGGCCTGCTGCTGCCGCCCCTGGGAGCAGACGCCCCTGCCAGCGCCGGGTCCTGGGGTGGGGGCACGGGACAGGGAACCAGCTGTCAGTGGCCTGACCCCTGATCGGCGCATCTTACTGAGCACAACGCCCTCCAGGCCCGTCCCCGTGGGAGCCTGTGTCGGGTTCGCTTCCCCGTTGAGGCCAAGCGCGATGCCGTTGTGTGGAGGCACCACAGGTTGTCGGGGCTGTTGGGGGCCCCGGGAGATGCCACCAACATTGAAGACGCCTTTCTTCTGTTTCTGGGGGTCTCCGAGGGTTCGCCCCGAATCGCCGTCCCCGTGGCGCCGCCTCGCCGGCTCGGCCGCGGCCTCTGCCAGGCCCGGTGACGCGGTGTGTGTGCAGTGACGTGCCTCCCTTCGCCCCTGCCCGCGGCCTTCCCCAGCCTGTGCCGTGCGGGCCGCGCGCTCCGTGGCTAAGCGAGTGCCCGGTATTTCGTGCTCCTTGGATGCCAGTGGAAACAGGGCCGCGCTGGCAGCTTCCTTTGCAGATTGCCCATTGTTGGCCGAGACAATGCAGCTGATACCGTGAGGCCGCCGAGTTCTGTGTGCTGACCCCGTACCTCACTTTGCCAGATCCGTGGATTAGGCCTAGCAGGGTTTGGGGGGTCGTGAGGGTCTCCCCGGCTGAGTTCGCATCACCTGCCAGCAGACAGGGTCTTCTTCCTCGGTTCCGGTTTGAATGCCTCTCACCGCCCGTTCCCGCCTCCCGGCTCTGGCTGGAAGGCGGGGGCTGCGTCGAGTCGAAGTGGGGGGAGTGGGCACCCCTGTCTTGTTGCTGGTCTCGGGGGGAAGGCTTTCACCTCTCCCCATCCAGACACTGTTTGGTGCGGGGTTTTCTGGTGACTTCACCCCACGGAGGCAGCTCCCTTCTCCTCCGAGTCTGTGGAGCGTTTCTGGCCCGAAAGGGTGTTGAATTTTGCCGAGCGCTCGTTCCGAGCCGGCTGAGGTCATGTGTTTGCTCCCTCATTCCGTTGGGGTGAGGTATGGGATTGATTGGTACTCACACGCTGAACCGTCCTTGCATTCCAAGGACAAATCCCACTTGGTCATCGCGTCTAATCTGTTCAATATGCGGCGGTTTTTTCCTCCACGTTCCTGAGAGACGTGGCTCTGGGGTTTTTTCCTCTTTTTTCCTCGTAGTGTCTTTGTTTGGCTTCGGGATCGGGGTGATGCTGGCCTCACCGAGCGAGTTGGAAAGTGTCCCTCCTCTTCAGCTTTGGGGGAACGTCGGAGACGGGTCGGTGCCGGTTCTGTAAGCGCCGGATGGACTTCCCCAGCAGAGCAGGAGGCCCAGGGCTCTCCCTTCCCGGGAGGGGCCTGATGTCCGCCTCCAGCTCCTGACCAGTCCCAGGCACGTCCAGCCTGGCCTGCTTCTCCCTGGTGTCGTCCTGGGAGGTTTTGCGTTTCTAGGAATCGGCCCGTTTCCCCCGGCTGTCCAGCGTGGTGGCTGGCGTGGGCGCTGGCCTCCTGAGTTGAGTTTCACCCGCCTGTCTTCACTTGTCTACCCGCCCACCCGCTCTCCCTCCCTCCCTCCATCGTCCGTCTGTCCACTGTGCGTCCATCCGCTGTAACTCAGACGCTCACAGTGGCCCGGCTTCGCCCAGGTCCCCGGCTGCAGGCTGACATGGGGCACAGCCTTTCCGGAGCCTGGGTGATGGCAGGGGTCCCCCCCTTGGCAGTCACAGCCGCCAACATTGACCCTGCCCCTCCTTTCGGGACGGGGCCAGTGCTGCCCTCTGACCCCACTTGGCCCTTCCTGCTGGGCCCAGCTCCCCGCCCGAGGCTGCGGGGGACCCCGGAGGCTGCACGGCTTGAGCTTCGGGCTCCGCGCTGTGCACGGGCGCTGGCTGGAGCCTGCGGGCCCCGGGCCAGGCCGGGGCACCTTCCCGACCCAGAGCCGCGCCGCGCCCCGGGGGCACGCCCTCTGGGCCGGGTCTGAAGAGCAGGGCGCCCACTGCAGGTGGCCTGGGCGGGCGGGCCCCGGTGCGGCTGCGGGATGGGTGGCGGAGCGGCCGCGAGGCGAGCTCACGGTTCTGTCCCCACAGGAGATCGTGCTGGTCGTGTTCTTCGGGACGGAGTACGTGGTCCGCCTCTGGTCCGCCGGCTGCCGCAGCAAGTACGTGGGCGTCTGGGGGCGGCTGCGCTTCGCCCGGAAGCCCATCTCCATCATCGGTGAGTCCCGTCTGTCCCCGCGGGAGTGTCCCCCGAGATTCCGGGCCAGCGCCCCAGGAAGGGCCGATCGGGCAGGGCGGACCCCCACCCTGAGTGCCTCCGGGGGGAGTTCCCGGGCTTCACTCTCCGTGACAGGCAGGACCCGAGGCCAGCGGGGTGACTCCCGGGTCCCCCAGCACAGGAGCCAGCCTCAGCGTCCAGCCCCCTGCCCTCAGGCCCTGCTCCCGGGACAGAGGTTTGGGGCGAACTCGGCACAGCAGGGTGCCTGCTGCCCTCAGCGGCCTGCGGGCCAGCCTGGGGGTGGGCCGGGTGGGCCGGGTGGGCTCTGCAGGTGCCGGGACAGTCCCTTTGGGGGACCCCGTCCCCCCCACCCGCCAGGCTCTTTCCGCGGAGCTGGCTGCCGGGCTGGTGACGCGGGAACTCTCCGCCCGCAGACCTCATCGTGGTCGTGGCCTCCATGGTGGTCCTCTGCGTGGGCTCCAAGGGGCAGGTGTTCGCCACCTCGGCCATCAGGTACGCCGGCTGCAGGCTCTCGGGCCGGGACGGGCCCCGGCTGAGCTGAGTTAGGGATGCAGGCCCGGCCCAGCTCCCCCTCGCTATCCGGACTTGGGCTGTGACCTAACCATCCAGGGACCTCAGTCTGCTCCTCTGTAAACGGGGGGTGGGGGTGGGGGGGGATCCGGCCGGAGGCGGCCGAGGGTGGGGGGCGGGGGGAGGACCGTGCAGGTCTGGCCCAGGCTTGGGGAAGGGCGAGGGGCAAGGGGGTGCACGCGGTGAGTGGCGGCTCATGGCCAGTTGGGGGGAGGCGCCTGGGGGCTGTGGGGCCTGCCCGGCGGGGACCTGCCCGGAGGGGACACCGGCTTCTCCTTCGCAGGGGCATCCGCTTCCTCCAGATCCTGCGGATGCTGCACGTGGACCGCCAGGGTGGCACCTGGAGGCTGCTGGGCTCCGTGGTCTTCATCCACCGCCAGGTGGGCCCGGGGGCAGGGCTGGGGCGGGGACAGCGGCCTGCCCGTCTGATGGGGTGCCCGTTCCTTCTGGGTGGGGACAAGGGACTGTCAGGCACAGGACAGGACAGCCAGGTGATGTGGGGACGGTCCAGAGGCTCCGGATCTAAAGCCGGGCCAAGACCAGCCCTGGAGGGGGGTGGGGGCTCTCGTGGTTCCAGGCCGGCACATGCCTTTGCTGCTCCCATGTCCCCACCCGCCCTCGACGCCGCGGGAAGGGAGCCGGGCGGCCAGGGGAGCCCGTGCCGCCCAGACCGTGTGCCCAGGCCATGGTGGGCCTGCCGGCTCCTGGGGCTGGGGCCCCACCGCCGTCTTGGACGAGAGTTGTGAGAAGTAGTCGTTGCGAAGTGCAGGGAGACGCGGTGGAGATGGCACGTCCCCGTCTGGGTGCCGTGGGGCCTGGTGGCCGCGTGCACCCCCCCCCCCCGCCCCGGCCCACCGCCTGCGCTGCCCGCTGACCCGCCCCCTCCCCCAGGAGCTGATCACCACCCTGTACATCGGCTTCCTGGGCCTCATCTTCTCCTCCTACTTCGTGTACCTGGCCGAGAAGGACGCCGTGAACGAGGCGGGCCGCGTGGAGTTCGGCAGCTACGCCGACGCCCTGTGGTGGGGAGTGGTAGGTCGGCCTCAGGCGGGCGGTCTGTGCGGTGGGGGCTGCGCGGTCTCTCCCCCCCGCCGCCCCGTCCATCCCCCCCCCCCACCCCGGGGCCTGGGCAGAGACGGGGGCAGGATGTCCCCTGTGGCCCTTGGGCTCTGGGTTCTCAAGACTCGATGCCTCATTGATGGGGACTCCGAGCCCCAAAGTCTGGCCGTGGCCTGATAAGAGCCGAGAGAAAAGCTTATCTTCTTTTTATATTTTATATTTGTGCTTTTTTTGTTTTAGTTTTTTCCACTCTTTTCACTATATTTTTTTTTTGGATATTGTTTATTTTTTCGAAATAGGACGGGGAGATGTTGCAGCTTCTCCGCGTACAGATCGCAGTCGCCTCTAAAAAAATGTGGTCGACCTAAAAACAGGATACCAACGTGAAGCGAGAAACAAGTGGGAGTACGAGCGTGGC